GGGGGGGGGGGGGGCTGTGGCCTGGGGCCTCAGCCCTGGCTGGACGCGGGCGTCCCGAGGCCATGTGGCTGGCCACGCAGGCCCCAGTCCTGGGCAGCCCGAGACCTGTCTCTGCCTCCTCCAGAGGCGCTTGGCCCAGAGCCGGTGCATAAAGGACTTTGGCACTTTCCGCCCCTGCATCTGACATTCTTTGTCACAGACCGAGCGGATTTTCTACAACGATCTCTTTCTCACTTTGTCTTGTGTCTTTTCTCTGTGGACTCTTGAGGGCCACCTGGATGGGCCCGGCTCTGCCTGCTGCTGGGGGGGGGGAGGGGGGGGCTCCTGCAGCTCTGTTCTGCCCCTCACCTGCCTCGCTCCTCTAGCTGGGCCCTTGGATGGGCCCAGGGGTCCCTCAGCTCACTCCCCAGGGCCCACCAAGGTGTTCGCTCTGCATTCCCCTTTCCTGGAGCCCCGGGGCAGTGGCTGGGCCTCTCCCCAACTTACATCCTTGGTCAGGCCAAGGCCAGTTGGCCGGTCACTATGCAAAAACTGTCCAGGGAGGCTCCATTGGCGGCAAGGTGGGTGCTGACTAAGTGCCCCCCCATCTCCCTTGCCTGTTGGCCGTGACCCCTACAGAGCAGAATTAACTCCCTCCTTTCTCCCTGCTTGAGCTCTGCCCCCACCTCCCACCCCACCACCTGCATCAGGGCCTCGGGCTGGCAGGACCCGCCCCCTGCTCCAGATCACAGTTAATAAACTTCTGCTTGCACCCCTGCCTGTCATTGGCTCACCCGCCTCACTCCACTCTGTCTCAGCTGGGGAGGGGGTGTCTCCGGGTCACCTGCCTTCTCCAAGGGGTGGCCCTGAGTGGGGTAGCACCAGTGCCCCCAAAGGACACAGTAAGTCAGAACCCAGCCTCTGCCTGCTGGGGACCTGCTGGGGACCTGTGGCCTCTTTGATGGAAACCGACTCCCAACACCAACAGGCCCCATTCCCTGGGCCCTCCGCCTTTCTCTGGCCTGGACTGTGGCCCCTGGAGGGAGTAGGAGCAGATGCAAAGCGGTGGGGGTGATCTGGGTCTGGTCTTGTCTCCTGGGCAAGCCCTGGCTCTGCAAGCTAGCTGTGGGCACAGCTGCCCTCCTGCCCCCTGGCCCCCACAGCACGTCTGTGGCTCTGAGGGGTGTGGTGGTGCAGCCTGGGGATTCCAGCTTACTCAGGAAGGGTGACTGGGGAGGTGCACACACTCGGCCACCAGGTGAGATCACAAGTTTTATTACAAAGCAGCCCAAGGTCACCAAGGTTACCTTGGCCTGGCCCTACCCTTCCTTCCACCTGTCCTGAGTTAAGGAAGGCTCTGCCTGATGCCCGCACACACCTACACATAGGTGTAGACAGATATGTTGGCACACTCAGAAGCACACGTACGTTTTTACATGACAGTGACACCAAACACAGGCACACTCCCATGTGGAGGTACCCCCCACCCCCTTGCATGCACACACTCACGGGTACGTACAGACTAGACGCAGGAATCCAGAGTGGTGGGGACACTCCCCTCCCCCCTGCCTGGGCCTCCTTGAGTGGGGCCACCCCTGGGCCACCACTGGGCTGATGAGAGGGCCCAATGGGCTGGGCACCCTGGTGCCTGCCTGCCTGCCTGTGGGCTCCGTGCTGCTGCTTCCTGGGCCCTGGGCTTGGCTTGGGTGCCTGGTGGTGGCTCTGTGGGGCTGGTCTGGTTCACTCTGGGCAGCCAGGAGAGCCCACCGCTCCCATATTCCTCAGGGTCAGAACAAGCTCAGGCTGGTTCAGGTGTCAGGAGGCTGGGGCTCTCACTTGGCCTAACTCTTCAGCAAAGATTCCTGCCACAGCTCCCAGAAGCGGCATGGGAGAAGAGGCCAGCAGGGCCCCCCAGATGATTAACATCGTTCCTGCAGTCAGTGGGCAACTGGCTGGCCTCCGGCTTGGCGTGGGACGCCACTGTGGCTGCCCCTGTCTGGGACCCCTGAGTTCTGCGGAGCCGGCGGCAGCCCAGTAGCAGTGTGAGGGCTACGGCATCGAGCAGCAGCTCCAACAGCTCCAGGACAGAGAGGACAGATGAGCCGAACCACAGGCTCCAGAGGCTGCCCATGGCTGAGAGCAGCTCGGGCACCTGCAGGCATCAGTGGGCTGTGAGCAGGTGCACAGGGCTGCGCCATGGCCGGGCCCCAGGGGGTCTGACCAGGGCTGGTCCTGCCCCCACCACAGCTCTTGGTTCCTGGCTGGCTCACCGAGTAAACGGGTGTCTCCTCCACTGTTCGGTAGTTGAGCTCCTGGTAGAAGATGTTCACCTTGGCCATGTTGCTCCTGGGGCAAGGCAGAGGTGTGAGGGGCAGGGCTCCTCCTTGGGGCCCAGAAGGGCAAGGCTGTCAGGGGGAGGGGCCCGGGCGAGACCTCTGGAGGAGGAGGAGTGCACCCACCTGAGGCTTGGGCTTGGGCTCTTGCTCTGGCTTGAGCTCCTGCGGCCTGGCTTGCCCAGCACAGCCAGGATCCAGTCCTGCACACAGAAGCCTCGTTGTGGCCACTGCTCCTCCCAGCCCTCAGGGTGCTGTGGGGCAGGGGTAAGAGCAGGGGTACAGCCTGGTCCAGGGTGGGCTCTCTGGGACCTGTGAGGCCCACCAGCTTGTCAGCCCCTCACCCCACCCCTTCAGCGGACTCACAGCTGACTTGGAGGAAGGCCACCTCGAGGTCCCAGCAGAGAGCTTGTAGGAAGACTCCCTAGGAGAGGCAGATCCCCATGACACTCCTGCTGTCGTGCTATGGCAGTGACCCCTGACCCTGAACCCCAACACTTGCCACTCACCTGCAGGACCTGGGGCAGCGGGAGGCACAAGGAAGTCGGTGTGTCCCCAGGTCCCTGTAGAGGCGGTAGAAGCAGTGGCCTGCAGAGGTGGGGGGGGGGTCACAGATGAACCCATCACCCCGACCCAGGGTGGCGTGGAGGAGAGCTTTCTAGGTTGACCAGGCCT